TTCATGAATGCCGTCTTTAAGCCACTTTTCATACAACTCGTTTTTGATTCCGCGTTCCTTGTGTTTCATCCACTCATTCAAAAAGCATATTTTTCTACTTTTTTTTTAGCACGAAGAAGTTTGTTATTTTTTGCATCTTACAGCCTGCTTCTATAATCGCATATCGGCGTTTCATGCACGCTTATTTTTTTCTACTGTCGTCAGCTCGCATCGAGCTCTGTTGTAGGGAATGCAACTGCTAAATGCGTCTGATAACACTGACATCCCTCTCGGCTCCCCACCGCGCGTGTGAATACTGGAGTTGGGGAGGGAGTCCCGCTGGTTCCGAAGATCACTGACGTCACGCACACCCCTCCCCGAAAAGCATCCGTCATGTGAATGGCCCTTAAAAAGCAAAAACATATTTATACATTTTTGGTTGTGACCTGCAGATCCTTACTATAGATTCTTTTTTTTTTCTAGCAGAGCCACCTTTTTAAGGTATCTTCAAGAGTGTCCTGTCGGTATCGGGAAGGAGAAGGGAGATTTCACTTGCTACCACAGGGCGTTAAGTTCATATCAACTGGCATTTAGTTGATTACAATTCCTTTACAATCACAATATATACTGCATTTAATAAACAAAGAAACACACACACACACGCACGCACGCACGCACGCAGACACACACACACACAAAATGTATTATTCAGTGGCAGCAACACTGCAATAATTTCTGAGTTAATACTAATATCATCATTTATTATTGTTCCGAAGAACAGAGCACGTTGCAGAGAGGGGAGTGCCTCGTACCTTGTACGATGGCCGCGACGCGCTGACTGTGAAATGGCAGTTTCCAGATCTCCACAGAACATACAAGAAGCACCTAAATCACTGCTTTTGCAATTTCCGATTTGAAGGAGACTTTTGTTTCAGTTGATGCCACACTTTTACAATATGTCCAATAAACTACCGTATTCTGATCTTGCGTGGATGTCGTCGTGCCTCTGTACCATCTCTGACCCATGACGCTAAGTAATGTCTAAAATACGTTTTATAACTCTAGGTGAACGAAGAATAACGTTATAGGCAGATATATATGCATATATATTGCTCTCATGCTCGACTCAATGCTAGCAAACAAGAAATTAAAGATTTCTAATTAGCTTAATGTGTTTCGCAAAACCCTTCACCAATATATGACATTTGACATGAATGCCAACTTCAGATGTCGTGTGTCACGATAGAAACAACTTTACTACAACTGATATTGAATTTCAAAGGCCCTTAATACCCCATTCACACGATCATAAAGAAACCTTTATCTAAAGGACCTGCTTGGTTGGCGGCGAATACGTTTACGATCCTCCGCGCGTGGCATGCTCACGCAACCTAAATGTGCGGGCAGATTCAATGATTGCAAAGGGATCTACGTTAAAGATACATGCATGTTGACAGTGGGAATGAGGTATTGAATACCGGGTAAATAACAAATTTATTCATAAAGAGAGACTTGAAAAACACGCCCATGTGTACGTCAAGCAGGACGTCCATACAAACCACATTCCTCACAAATAAATGTTTCGGAGAGAACCTCTCAACGAGATAGGCTCGAGTGCGTATTTTCCAGACTTGTGAGCTTTACAAACATTGATTTCCAAGGCCAAAAGCTCGGCGAACAGCGTACAGGCGTGCTTGCGGTCCTGTATCACTAACTGCGTGATTAGTGTTAAAGACCTCAGATTTGCAGTGGTCCTGCACTGGCTAAATTTTTCTTCTACTGTGGGTACACGAAGCGCCCACTGGAGTAGTCAAGCTTACCTCTGTGTAAACATACACTCAACACAATTTAGGTCAAGAAAAACCTGGTTGCTTCTCAAGCTGTATACACAAATGGTGATCCAATGTAGAAAGCTTAAGTTTAAAAAAAAAAAACATTTCAAATAAAGGCAATAAAAAAGCCACATTCTGGCGGTGATCTTAAGTACCTATGCAAGTCATCAGTTTGTAAGCTGTTTTGGCTGCTTTTGAACGTTAGCTTTTTTATTGTAAAGAAGCTGCTTCACGGCATCGTCCGCAATACCAATTTGGCTCAAAGCTTGTCATAAAGTTTTGAAAGGGGAACTGTTATTTCAGCCACGCTTTATTGTGACGAATGCTCTCTCCAGGAAAACAATTATCACCTACAATTTGACATTTCATGCAGATATTTCTCAACAAGATCACCGCGTTGTCACTATAACTTTTGGCGTTCACTTTTATCACATCTTCATAGAAAGGGCGTAAATTTCAAGGTGCGAGATCACCTAAGCCATAGTCGCTAGACTCTTGTTTTTGCCCTCTAGCACGCCGCATTAACCTTAAGTGCCAAATTTGTTTTCAAAAAGTAACCTAAAACTGCCAGATTCTTTTTTTTTATTTTGAATTGTTACTCCTCTAGTATTACACATAAAATTCGAAAAGTTTATTATGCAAAAATCAGCGGAGGCGAAGAAAATATTTGCCAACGAATGCGATTGCTGCCATCTATGATCAGGACCGCAAAACTACTCGGACGAGCCGAGCTCGTCCGTGGAATTGAGGGCAACCGAAAAAAAAAAAAAAAAAAAAACACTGGACGAGCTGAGCTCGTCCACGGTATTTTTAGCCAGAAAGTGGCCGACGAGCTCGGCACATCCAAGGCACTTAAAAGGTTAAAAGGCTGGCAAGGTACACATCAAACACACGTACGCGGGGTATAGACGGTTAACCGAACTCGGGTTTCTTCGAGCAGCTGCGATGTAGGTGCAGTAGAGGTAACGACACTACTTGATTATCTCTCTCTCTCTCTCTCTCTCTTTAATTTGTGTCTTGCGTATAAATATGTTTTCGGATAAAAAGGGACTAATATATTCGGGCAGTGAAACATTGCTTCTCACTGCCATTTTTCAAAGGCGTTCAAAGTGCATAGCATTTGTCGGGCCAATTTGCTTTCCTCCTTTTGGGAGCACAGAAGGGGGTCACTCTGGTGCGCAGTTTGTGGGTTTTGTGAATAGAGAAAGGTATCAGAGAGTTAGGTCACGTCACGGTGTCACGTGGAGGGATAGTTTCACGTGACCTCAGTTTCGCGTGACGACATGAAATCCCGTGACGTCATGATGTGTCCGTGGCATATCTTTGTAACAGATACCACGGGCCCAAAAATAACCGAAGTTGGCCCTTGAAGGCTATGCATTTATTACTCTTAAAGTCACCCTCAGTCCTTTGGAAAGAACATTCGCAAAAAAAAAAAGGCATAACCATATCAGTTGAGAGTGTTCTTGAACGATGATCTCGTCGAATCGTTTTCGACCTCAAAGAACTTCGCCAACGTCTAAACAAGTTGTGCGCACTGCGTTGCTTTTTAAAGGTCAAATGGCAGACAAACAGTGCTAGCTGCGCATCGTTTGCAAGCGTTCACAAGCTTGATGGGAAAGGGCCTTATAACCTCCTCTTACGTCGGGAGAACACACCGGCGCCATCAATCAAGGGGCCATGGGGCACGTGGCATCTCCGAATACATTTTTCCCGCATCATTTTTTTTTTCGTTTTTGGCTTTGAAATTTTGACAATGGTATAAACGAGCATGTCTTATAAATAGTTTGTACGTTTGATCTCGCAAATATAACAAAACCTTCCGTCCAGTTAAATTCAGTTCCAGAGTCACCTCATGGATGGCGCCTGCGTGCCAGTGTGTTCTTTCGTCGTGATACGTAGGTCCCATGAACCCGGTCGTAAGCAAATGGAAGCGAGTAAACTCACCTTATGTGCTTCTGACTAACCCAAATTGGAGAACTCGAACAACATAGCCGAACCTCCCTGCACTTGGCCGCCTTAGTCTGCACAGAACCTGCTCCAACATAAGAGGAAAAAAAGCTACTGCAAGTCCTCTACTCTGCCTTATTGGTGGTTTCCTCATCTCCGCTTGACTTTTTCAGTGTTTGCTAAGCTGAAGTGAAAGTAATGGCGGGCTTTGTGGAAATAACGTATTCTGCTATTCTTAAAAGTAAACGTTCGTTGTAGCACTTATCTCGATGCATTTGTTGTTTACAATCAGACTTTCTGCCTGTAAAGGGTGTTATGCGGCTGGTTCATCAAAAAGTGGTTTTCAGTGTATAGGAAAAAACGGCAGTTAATATTCTACAAGACACGTAACGAGGTACACGGGCCTGGCAAAGTATTGCTATAGAATCAATACATGGTAAATGTATTTCATTACGCAGATACACGTACATTTTTCAAATGTAAGAGATACAGATACTCCAACGTATCACTTAAGGTTCTCTCGCAATAGGTTTATATCGCGATATTGTCCAGCCCTGTTTTATAGACTGGTTATGTGATATAAACTATTTTGTGACGCTGCATTCAACCGGACTCGTTCCAAATTCAAGAACGTAACTGCGTGCGCTAATAAATTATTTCAATGTTCTGATCAAAATTAAGTTCCGGTAGCAAACAATAATCAGCAACAAGTTTCAATTACCCCTCAGTCAGTGACGGCATTCTTTAAGCAATCTGCATAAAAGTGAAAACCATGCACGACAACTCAGTCTCCTGTCTTTTAGGTAAGCGCGCAACTTGTTGGTAAAACACAGACGTTTAAGTCTAAATAGTGAGAACGGAGAGGATAAACTGAAACACGAAGCTCCAAATAGACTGAAAATATTGTTTGTTAAACAACATCCCTAAAGAGGCGCACGATCAAAGCGAAGCACAGCTCGAAAGCATAACGACAGCGATTTCTTTTTGCTTGTCATAAAAACAGGGCTGAGCAAGAACTCTTCCCAACAACAACTTCAAAAATAACAAAACCAGGGTGACCAGGTAGCCAGATGTATTAACCAGAAATGTCAACAATCAGGCAAAATGAGCCACGTTGACAACGTTGACAATGAGACAAAAACCGTAACAAATTTTCCTATTTCAAGAAACACCGCCCAGAACTCTATTTATGGTCATTTGCTCTACATGTCACGCAAGATTTATTTAATTCGCCTTGTTCTTACTTCCAGGTGTGTCGCCAGTTTTCTATTGGCGATGGCAACTTTTCGTACCAACGCACTAATCTACGATTTTGACGGAGACTGCAAAAAGTTCGGTTTTCCATTTCCTGCATGGACTCAGCCTAGATCAGGTCAGTATTCTCCATGGTGTTCTCGAGCACTATTCGGGTGTAAAAAGTTCGTCTAAATATACCAATGAACTGCGTGCCTTGAAACTTTCAACAAAAGTGTCTTTTGGTTGGAGCATTTCTCATGCTCATATTTTATGGGTGTATTCTTTAGAGTAAAATATGAAACGAAAGAATATATATTGTTCCTATGCCCGAGCAGGAAGACAGTAAAGACCTTCTCATTGACGCTGGTATATACTCACAGATGGTAACACACAAACACTGATCCGCTGTATTTGCTCTCAAGTATTTAGTTGAAACCATTTTTTTTCACGTTTTTCTTTTGTGTTATGCTATGTGAAAGTAGCAGCGGCAGCCAGAAGTTTTTACCATATTTTTTTCTTTGTACACAGAAAAAAGCTGAGTCTTTTAGCCTTAATATTTTTACCGAAACCAATACACTCAGTCTTTTTTAGTATAATAAAGGCACCGCCCAAAGACAGCTTTGTGAAAATTTTCAGTGCGGTCAATCTTTTGCTTCATATATGGGCGATTTTATTTCAAATAGTGCAGGAAAATGGAGTCATGTTTTAAAACATTTAAAAAAAGATAACTATGCTGGGCAAACTCTTTACTATGACGCAACTCAGAACCGTTTTTGCTTCATATTTTTAGCTTTCGATCTTTTTACTACTAATGAACCAAGCACGAATTTCGGGATTCGGGCAATCGTCACAGGTACCATATTTTGGAGCTCCTCCTGGCTCTGATACCTTCCGCACAACAAAGAACCTTTCTTGTGCGGAGGGTATAAAATACATAATTTTTTTAAACTCCATGAAACGCTCGAGATATTCGTAAGATTTTGTTATTTTTATTTATTTCTGTTATAAGTAATCCAGAACCTGACCCCTTTCACGGTAATTTAATAGGTTTGTATGATGGTGGCTTTTGTAACAATAAATGTTCTAACATAAATTATGCATCAAGTGAAAACTTAAAATGACACTGACATGCGAAATAATTTTGTTCATTTATTGAAAGGCGCTTTATTATGGTGCAGGACACTACTCAATCGATATTTTGCTGCAGAGTCACGCATATTTTTAAGAAAGCAAGAAAACTCACGGCTATGAAAACGAAACCGAAACATGAGCACTTAGATTCACGGCCGACTGCGCGTACTGAGGAAAAGGGTAATATGTGAAGGAGGAGAGAGTTGCCGGGAGTCACGTGTCTATCGCTATTTGCACAGTTGGTTTTTGTGTTCCTTTACTTCTCTGGCGTGGGAAGCAGACGATCAAAAAGTAAGGGCGCAAACGAGCTGGTGTACATTGCACATGGTTGAAAAAAACCCGAGACTGCGGGTAAACGACACAACACTAAAAATTCTCTAACACAGCTGAAAGTTTTATTTTCCGAAATCTTTATTATATAGGCACTTTGATATATAATATATATAGGCACTTTGATACAAAAGAAAAAAAGGGGGAGAGGGTGAGAGCCCCAAAGAATGCCACTTTCCACCATATGTAACCTTTGACAAATACAAGGACAACGGACTCTGCGTCATGCACCTTTCTTATCTTTGACCCCTCGCTACCCGACCGCCAAACAGACTGGAAAGCCTAAGCCTATTAGCAGAGGAGGCCGATGACGTTGCGTCCCCCAGTTTGTCATACGATTGTATCGCACTTATAACTCGTCCGCTCAATGTCCTGCGTTTGAAGATCGATTGGCCGGTACCACGAACGACTGCTTCTATGTAGCAGTCCCATGTCCGTCGCAAAAGTGTCCCATCATGCGCTGCTATTGCATCATTCAGCTCGTGGTACGTCGGCATATTGAGAATGACGTAGTGCATGTATTTTCTGTGCTCTGCACAATTTTTTTTTCAATAAACGTATTTTCAGCTTTTTGGAAGTCACGAAAAAGGGGGTTCATAATTCTTCTATTTTCAGTATTGAATATGTGCCCTAGATGACCAACAGCTTTGAATATATGTAGTCCACTATAGTTTCAAACTCAGACTTTATTTCTCTCCGTTTGTAGAGGGGAGACAGGGAAAAAGCAATTCAGATGTTGCTTGACGAGCCTCTGCCTCTCCACAGCAGCAAAAGAGCACAGCATGTACATACACATAGTGTTTTTTCACCATCACACTTATAGCACAGAAATAGACAATATTAGGTGGGGGAGGGGGGAAAGGGGGAAAATTAATTGATTTAGCCAAGTTTTCAAATTCCAGGGGCACTCTCTCACAGACATGGAACGTATGTTTCTATGACTTCATTCAAAACTTCTACTTTCAATTCAGTCAGGTGATTTAAAAAACGAGCTACTATATATTTCAACGCCTTATTACCGTAGTTCGTTCTGGAGTGCGGCAAAACCATGTATGTACAGACCTAGTTTCGTAGGCAACCTCTCTCATCTTAAGGTTGAAAGTAGACATGAATACATTTTCTTTTTGGTAAAAATATATTTTCAATGCAAGAAAAAGTTTATAATAATAATGATTAGGAATCTGTACAATATTCAATTTACTAAATAATGGACTACTATGACTATTATACTCAGTACTAAATATAATGCGAACAGCTTTTTTTTGTAGAGTATGTATCAGTTTTATGTTTATAGCGGTCGTATTCCCCCACATTCCAAGAAGCAATAATTATATTTTGAGTAGAAGAGGGAATTATATATAAGAAGCATAACCGAAATTGGGAAGATGTGGCGATATTTGTACATAATACCTACAACTCTTAATAATGTTTGACATGTTTCTTGTACAGTCTCGTCCCATGACATGTATTGATTAAATATAATACCGAGAACCTTTACGCTTTCAACTATATCTATAAAGTGTGTTCCAAGAGAAAGGTTGGACGCATAGAAACAGTTTGTGTTCCGTGATCTAAATAATACAGCTTTTGTCTTAGTGCCATTTATTTTTCACGAATTTGAATTTGTCCAGTCTTTTAACTTTTCCGAAAAATGATTTGCCGCTCTTATAATCTGATCAGTATTATCACCTGAAAAGAATACTCGTATCATCAGCGTAAATAATTAGACTTACATTTTTATCAATATTTACGATGTCAATGATGTATAGACCAAAAAGAAGTGGTCCCAGAATGCTCCCTTGCCGTAGGCCGGCGGTCTGTTTCTTAAGATCCGATTATTTTTTATTTATTTCAACACACTGATACCGATAACGAAGATAACTTCTAATCATATTTACTGGGTGATTCAAGGAGCGGCCAGACCCTTAAAATCGACCGCAAAATTCGGTTTCTTAACCCATCGCGCTACGACTTTGTGCAGAGTTGCCCACAGATGGTGCATTTGTTTTTGTCAAATTTGCAAAGAGCAAACTTACCACAGGAAGAAGCGAAGAAAAAAAAGGCTTAGCTCCTATAGAAACGCAGCGAAGCCACCGATTTTCAAACAATGCGGCGCCGCTTCGCACGGGAGACAAGAGATGGCGCAAGCGGTCACGATGCCAACTGCCGCCAAAGAGCCAGCGTCCTTAGCAGACGATCGTTTCGACTCAAGAGCGCCGCGAGCTTTTCTGATATCAGTTGCCAATGCATTATTTTATGATCCTTACTAAGAAAACATTAAATGACAGTAATCGATTAAAACAATGGTGTCTCAGGATATTTTTGACTGTCATTTCGGGGTACTGATGTCGTCTGCTTTCCAGTTCCTTCTTGTTACCACGCCTGTTTTTGTTTCTGCGACTGTCGCCACCTGCGGAACGCGCGCCGATTTTAAGTCGAACAGATCGCCTGCTAAAGCGCCGGTTCTCGGCGCCGTATGCTCGTTCGTTGGCGGCAGTTGGGATCGCGACCGCTTGCGCCATCTCTTGTCTCCCGTGCGAAGCGGCGCCGTATTGTTTGAAGACCGGTGGCTTCTCCGCGTTTCCATAAGAGCTAAGCCTTTTCCCTTCTTTACTTTTTCCTCGGGTCAGTTTGCTCTTTGCAAATTTAACAAAAAAAAAAAAAATGCACCATCTCTGGGCAACGCTGCACAAAATTGTAGCGCGACAGATTAAGAAACCGAATTTTGCGGACGATATAAAGAGCCTGGCCGCTCCTTGAATCACCCAGTCGAGTAACGCCACGAATGCCATAAATATGAATTTTTTTAAGTGATGTGTCGTGATTGATTCGATCAATGCCTTTGAAAAAACCTATTAATCTACGAGTGTTAATAACTTTTAACAAGGCAAATTCGGTAGAGAAACCCCTCTTAAATTTGTATTGACTGGTCTGTAAGTAATAAATTTTCGCAAAAACTATACAGCCTGCGATGTATTATTTTTTCAAGACGTTTTGAAAATATCGGTTAAGCAGAAATCGGTCTATAAGTTTCGAGGTTGTTTTTATCTCCAGTTTTATATAGCACAGACACCTTTGCTACCTGCATTTTGGGGGGGGAAAGTTCCGTTCTCAATTGCTAGATTAGAAATATGCGTTAAGCAAGGACCAATCGACCGCGAAACATGGTTGATAGGTTTAATTTGAGAAACATATATATCGGAGCTCTTACTATCTTTTAAGCTTTGGAAAACAGAAAACACTTCATGTTCGTCAGTTGAAAACAGAAACATTCTATGTAAAACCTTCTGGATATACCTAACGGGATCCGCACAGTGCGCACTCTGGACAAGCGTAGCAAAAAGATCACTAAACATTTTGGCCAAAGCAACTCCTTTTATGACGATACCTTTGATTTTTATTTATCTTACTTTATCCGCACGCCACCCTTGTTTTATTAACTCATTTATATTTTTATACTACCTCACATCTCTTTTATCATATTTAAATAAATTATCAAAATACACGCGTTTAGCCTGCCTTAAGGTTTTTGTGAATTGATTTCTAAAGTTCTTAAATGCAACCAAGATGTTAGCATCTTATCATTATTTTATTTCGGGTGTAACTCAGGGTTTACGAGACTTTTGAGGAACCCTAAGCAATTCATAAGGAAAGCAGCGATCATATATCATTTCA